TTCCGCGGTCGGCCTCGTAGACTTCACCATCCTTCACGGTCAGGAGTGAGATCAACTTTGCCCACTTCTTGGGTTTGTCTCGGTCCTGGCTCTCGAGATCCCGAGAGACATCCTTCCCTCCCTCGGAAACGGTGGCGGTTGACATGACAGGTCAGGTAGGAGGAGAGATGTCACTGACGGTAAGGTTGACTGTTCAAGATTGAGATGAGGAACATACACACAGGCACGCCGGGTATTTATCAGCCAACCCCGGGGACACGAGAAGAGGGGCTTGCTGCTGATGAAAAAGTTTGTCTCTTGTTAACATACGGTCATACCTGTTGGAAAATGTCATGATTCAGGATCGCGGTGATACCAATTGCCATTCGGGCCGGATTCTGGGTGGCGGAGGAGAAGAGGACGGGTCGGGCTAACTTTGTTTTTGCTGGTTCTTGTATCTTCCCGACATATTGTTTCCTTGTCTGTCTCATCATGTATGCACGCCATTTCCCAACATGACGAGAATCAGAGTAGATGGGTTGGTGGGTAGATTGGGTACATAGTTCGCACTGGCTAGATTTGGAATCAGAGTCCCCCCCTTTTTCACAGTTCGGCGCTCAACCCCTGATATCGTCTAATAACGCCGTAGTAATTAAGGAGTCATAACTCCATCAACCCGGACGCCACACCGTCTGTAGATATGTACCGCATCACCGGTATTGTTGCAATGCATCCATCGGTACGTACCTACCTATGTTGTTGTGACCACTCCACTTCCTCTCAGGTCCTTTCGAGATCCGACGTCCCACAGCGCAAGCCACAGGGTCGCACCGAGCCTCCCGATGACACTAGTGCGGAGGCCTGGCCAACGGGAGGCGTGAGGGGAGAGACCGCAACCCGGAGACATGACGTGCAGAAGAGGGGGGGGAGGACGTGGACTGTGTGTGGTGTATGCAGGTATGTACCTATGTATGTGCACTACATACGCGTGCGTGCGCGTGCGCGCGCGCGCTGTTGTCTCGGACCGCCCTAGCCTGCAAGTCATCACCCGATACATGTGGCAGTATGTCTGTAGGTGAGGTATGTCTGTATGTTGTGCTGCGGCTAATTGGCGTTTGTTTGTGTCTCATACTGTGTCGACTGTAGATTCTGGGTTTAGGTCTATCTTCCTTCTTTCCCCGCAAGGAGGAGCCAGATATTAACTTCGACCGCAAGGAAAGCAAACGACGGTTTAATGTTCAGGACAACTCTTTCACAGTAAGAGTCGAGGATGAACGAGGGCGTTGTTGACTCGATTTGACACAAGGGCTATTCAGTGAGTATTCACCCACCGGCCAAACAAAAAATAGAAGCCCAGTAAAAGAACTGCAAATCGAGAAAAAGAGCTTAGGCTTCTGGATAACTTTTGCTTCGACCCACTACCCCAGCGCCTGCACTTGGGTCCATCATATTTTCCCCGTGCGGTGGTATTGTCGAGGTATCTGAGACTAGAGAAATGTGGTGTAGCCGTCGGGTTGAGGTTGATAGCGAGACTGCGATGTTCTTCTGCTGTGCTGTGAAACAACCTGAAGTATCGTCGATTCAGGGTTGATCATAAGCAGACTTTCCTCGACCACCATTTGAATTCGTCTTGAAGCATTAATGGCAAATCGAATCCGAACTTTCGATGATAACGCGGTATTAAAAATCGAGATTCCGACGCCTTGCTACGATGCGGGTACTCTGAGGAGGTCGGTTCGTCCCAAAAAGAAGGCTACTGCTGGGACAGACAATGTGCTTGAACCCCGCTCACTGAGGTACGGGCATTGCATCCACATACCCCGTTCGGACATCTCCCCAGGGCTGAATCCGAAGTCCATGGAGTCACCGCCCGAAGAGAAGGAATCGCCAAGTAAAATGACACCATCTGGCACCTGATGCACATTCTTCAGCTAGAAAACAGCGCCTTCAGTCTTGTTTGGTACCTCAACCCATGTCGAGCTCGCTGGGCGTTCCTGGGCAAAAGCCGGGCAACATGGTTGGAGGTGAGGGGCGTTGTTGGGATGGACAACGAGGGGCAACGAGGGGCAAGCTAGAATTCCAGGGGTGTTCAGGTGATGTCAGGCCAAGACGGCCACCCCAAAATTAGCAGATCTTGTCCCCTGTTTGCCATGTTTAACTTGCAGGAGAGAACGTGGTCTAGAAGGAAAATTCCTGCAGCCTTGTGATCAAATTTTGAACTTCCCGGGCGGAGCCAAGCGAGTGAAGAATTTGAGGTTAGGATCCTTTCTTCCATCCCAGTCCCAGTTGGGGTATTCCAGGTTCAAGCATAAAATCCACCGCGGGGTCCCAGCTTTGCCGTCTTTGTTTCAACAGAAAAAGTTAAACTCTATTTCCATGTGCCCTTAACCAAATCTACCACCAAATTAATCCCGACCATTCCTCGCTCACCTCATCACACCTCCAACACAAACACCCATGTCGTCGCAATTCCAATCCTCCGGCCGGGGCGGCGCCGGCAACATCGTCGACAGCTCCAAGACGGCGCAAATTCAACCCGAGGACCTACAAACCCCAACACTCAAAACCTCCATGGTAACCACAGGCCGCGGCGGGACGGGCAACTTTGCCGCGGGCCTCGACGCCGAAGAAAAGCGCCGCCGCCAGGACGTTGAACCGTATGGCCCCCCTGCCCTCCTCCCCACCGACAACACCTAAAAACTAACCATAACACCTCCCAGTGTCGTCCGCCGCCCCAGCCACGGCGCTATGCACGTCGGCCGCGGGGGCACGGGCAACGTGGTCAAGGACACCCCGAGCCCCGCGAAGTCGCCCGTCCCTACCACGGCTACGTCTGGGGCTACGGTGTCAGAGAAACCGGCAAGCCCTCCCGCTACTGCTGCTGCTGCTGCTACTGCTGCTGTGGTAGAGAGGGAGAAGAGCAGGTCGCCCGTGAGTGGGGATTCGGGGAAGGAGGACAGCGAGGGTGATGATGTGGCGGTGCTGGCGCGCAGGCCTGAGGAGATTGGGTGGGCGGAGAAGGGGAAGAATTTGCTCTTTGGGAAGAAGTGAATGGGTTCGATGTGAGTGATGGGGGAGGGGTGGGAAGGGTTGGGCTGGTCGGCGTTCTCGGGGTGGGGTGGATTGGGCTGGGGCTTTATTTTCTCTGGCTTGGTTCGTTTTGCGCCCTGGTTGGTTTGCTGGGTTGGGCGGGTTGGTGTTGTTACTTGGATGACTCCCTTGTCTCATCATACCCTGGCGTTGGTGGTGAAAATTCGGGCGGAGCGGAATGACTTCTTTTTGTATCAGCGGCTGGATAATAGCAGCGGTGTATGATTATATGGGGATATGATAGTGATTGAACTCGATCACGATTCGCCGTGCGAAAGGGTAGCCTAGGATGTTCTCCGTTTGACACCTATTACGCCGTCGAGAATCCTTCCCGCGACATATCCGGAGGAAGACCGATACGAGCCGAGCTTATCACCCCTGAAGTCCACTCCACATAACCCTAAACTTAAAAAGTTAACAGCCTACACCACTCACCCCGGTCATCAATTACATCGGTGAGTAGAAGACAGCGCTATCACCATGTCTTCCCCTCAAACAATCCTCCTCGAGGACACCTCCACCCCCTCCCCACCCCTCCTCGCTCTCCTACAAGCCCACCTCCCCCATTCCATCACCGTCCTGCGCCACCTCCAATTCGCCCGCAACTTCCCTGGCGGCCACACCCCCAGCACCCATATCCTCTACGCCTGCCACGCAGAAGAGGACAACAACAACAACAGCCCATCCCAAACCACCACCACCAACACCAACCCCCCTTTCGCCGTGGCCTTCGTCGACCTCTCCCGCGCGCCCGAGACCCAAATCTCCCTCTACTCCTCCCTCGAGCGCACCGCCAACGAAGGCCACCACCGCGGCCAGCACCAGAACCCAAACCACTACCACCTGGGACCACCCGGCCCCCCGCAAGACGAAGCCTTCCCTCGACCTTCGTTCTTGCCCCTCCTACGGCCGCACACGGGGCGGGGTCCTTCGTCCCCTCCCCCCCCGGATGGGGAAATCTCTTTTTTTTCTTAATAACTTTGTCATCTTTTTTTTGTTTTTTTTCTCCGAGAGGTTGTTTGTTCTTTCTGGTGTCTTGGGTGGGTCAGTCCTATTTTGGTGGTGGTTCCCTGTGTGCTGGCGGGGGATGTTTTTTGGGGATGTTGCTGTTTTCGCGTGGAGGCGTTCCCGTGTGTGGGGGGTGGTTTTTCCCGAAGGGGGCGCGTTGGGTTCTGATTCGGGTGGGGGGATGCGGAGGTTGTGCAGGGACGGACGAGCGTGAGAAGGTTGCGGTGGGTTTTTTTTTTTTTTTTTTTTTTTTTTTTTTTTTTTACGGTTCTTTTCTTTTCTTTCGTTGGCTGGTTTTCAGGCAGGTTGGAGAGGGGGGTAGTTGGGTAGTTGGGTGGTTGGTTGGGGATGAAGTGCTGATCAGATTTCTGCTGCGTTAGGGAGACGCTGCTGAAGCTGCCGAGTACGGTTGTGAGGTTGGAGGATGGGACGCCTATTGCGTGGGCATTTATGGGTGAGTTGGGACGGAGATTGACATTGGCTTCGAGGTAGCCGACTAACACGTCGCCTAACACCAGGACTTGATGGGACACTGATGACATTACACGTCGAGGTTAGTGCTAGTACTAACAGCTATGTCCCAGGCCAACGGCGTTGCTAATGGGTGTTTTAGGAGCCATATCGCCAACGAGGTCTAGCAAAGGCTTTGGCCTGCAAGCTAATGAGGGAGCACGTATCAGATTACGGTGACGACGGCTGGGGGGCCGCCGACGTGTTTGTTGGAAACGCCCAGAGTCAAGCCTTGTGCCGAAGCATTGGCGGCAAGAAGAGTTGGATTTTATCTTGGTAAGATAAAGCTGAACGTGGTGTTTCAGAGCACTCGACTAACATGCTTCAGGGCAAAAGTTGATCTTTCTAGTGTGGGAGACCCGATGTGAAGAGTGGAAAAGGGGTTTGATGACATTTTAGAACCCAGAACTCCGCATGATTTTAGCCAGTTTTACATGGTATCATGGCATTATATACAATGAAGACTCGGCCTGCGCCGCTATTGGGAATCTGTCTTGGTCAGGCGATGGATCTCCTGGAAGAAGAATTTCAGATCGTCGGGGTTGACAAAGGGGGTAATCCCTAGAATAGTGTTAGCGGCAAGCGGTGGTGTTAATAAGAGATAGATATACGCACCGTGCCCGAGATTTACAATCCAGCCTTTCCTCCGGTTGGCCCAGTCGAAGCCTTTCACCATCTCCTCCACAACCTCAGTGATGCCAGCGTGCGAGCCGTACAAGACGCCGGGATCGGCGTTCCCTTGGAGGACGACCGGGCGGTCACCAACCGTCTTGACGGCCTCAGCAGGATCGTGAAGCCAGTCAAGGCCGACGATGTGGTATCCCATGTTGCATGCAGCGTCTAGGGCATACCACGCGCCCTTGGGGAACACAACCATCGGAACGGGCTCTAGCCCCATCTCCTTGAGTCTTGGGGGAAGGTGCTTGGCAATGTACTCCAAGTAGGGTTGAGAGAACTTCTTGAACGATGATGGCGAGAGTTCACCTGCCCACGAGTCGAATACTTGGATAAGCTGGCACAGATGGTCAATGAAAGCCCAAGGAAGCGGGGATCGACTGCTATACCTGGGCACCAGCTTTGACTTGGAGCGCGAGGTACTCGACGCAAAGCTCCGAGATCTTCTGGAGAAGGGCCTTGGTCTCCTCAGGGTACTTGTAAATCCACTTCTTGGTCTCCTTGAAGAACTTGGATCCCCCACCTTCGACCATGTAGCAGAACAAGGTCCAGGGTGCTCCGCAGAAGCCAAATAGCGGCACACGACCCTGAAGCTTCTTCCTAGTCAGGGTAATGGCCTTGTAGACATAGTCGAGCTCCTTTGCGACGTCGACATTGCGCTTCATCACCTCGGCGTACTGCCCGTCGTCTGGGCTCTGCAGGGGACTCGGGAAGTGTGGTCCCTTCTTGTCGACCATTTCCACCACCATTCCCATGGCCTGTGGAATCACCAGGATATCGGAGAAGATGATAGAGGCATCGAGGAGGCCGCCATAGCGCTCAATGGGTTGCAGCGTGAGAGTGGATGCGACCTCGGGGTCCCTGCAGCACTCGAAGAAATCACGGCCGCCTTTCGCTTCGTGGTACTCGGGCAGATATCGACCAGCTATACTAATAGTTAGCGCATACATATCAAAGCAGTGTTGGAAACAGGTGGGGTGCCTTACCCTGCCGCATCACCCAGATGGGCGGTCGTTCGACCTTCTCGCCTGTAATCTAACGTCAGTGTTTCCGTCCCATTCATCCGGGGAAAAAGCGATAAAAATAAAACAGGAAAAAGAAAAAGAGGGATGAAAAGAAGGTTCAAAAACAAACTTACCGCGAGCAACCCGCAAAATCAAATCATTTTGAAGAGGAGGGAATTGGTGTTCCATGGTTGCGGTTGTTGACATCAAGCAAGCTCAAGCTCTCAAGGTTCTGGATCGTGTTCTGGAACTTCCCCGCCATGGGCTCTTAAATGGGTCAGTGACATTTGACACGGACGCGGGGCAAGTCGGCACAGCCGGCCAAGCCGTTCCCGGTCTGCGCCACACCTGCAAGGTACCCATGCTGGAGCTCCCACTTTGCCGAGCCATTAATCCAGCCACACCAAGTATTCGAGGTCGGCCAAAGCTTCTGAACGTCAAAGCTTCCATCATTGCGCGAAAAGTTGGGGGGGGTTTTGGCTCAACTTGCGCCGACAGCAACCGACGACGACGGGGCCAATCGGTCTCAACACCTAGCGACCGAACCGCATGCTGCTCCATCCACGAGTTTCAAACCTCGCTTTTTGGATGGAGCTGGCAGAACCCGCCAATCGCTCTCCCCCTCTTCTCACCCTCCCCTCTGGCCCTCGACAATGACGCCCCCCGCTTCGCAGTGCCGCCGCGCCCTCCAACGCCAGATAGTCCCTTCGAAGGACTCAATATGGATTACGGATGGCTTGCTCGCCAGCGCATTTGAACGGTACTGCTGCGTGTCGAGGACTTGGAACAGAAAGGCTAGCAATGTCCCGGGACCGCTGGAGAGCCAACGCCGACTCGGACGGCGGCGCATGGGGGACGCCAGCACATGGCATTGTCCACCAACACCACCATCCTGGGCGTTTCTGGCACCGTTAAACCTAACACAATGGACCTGGAAACCGCCATCATTAGCTCCCACCCGAGAACGCAACCAACTGCGACACGACGACAACACCTCCACCGAGCCCATACCGTTGTTACCCCGATTGTTACGAGAGTCAGCGCCTCAAGGGGCTGAACGACCTCTCGCGGCTTCTACAAGTGCGGCATTACATGATCCGAGTCTGTCACCCGTTGTCACAACGCCGTCTGACCCATACGCAGCCCTCATGGGTGGTTTCCGGTGGGCGGTTACCCATGCCGACGATGAGCGCCTCGCATCCTACACCGGGAAGCTATGCAGCAGGTTGAGGCACCTTATTGTACTTGGAGAGATCCCGCCCAATGACGTTCTACCGCTGTCGAAAGAAGTATGGGACATGTTGGGTTCGCGATTGCAGGGGTCACCACTGGACCATCGACTCTCCTTGTCGTTCTGCAGGGCGATTATGAGCGGGATTACAAGCTCCAAGGTGTTCTCACCCGATCTTCTGGATGCGCGATTCTGGAACACGTTTCTTCCTTCAAATGTCGAGGCTTCCAGCCGACGATACGCTCTGTAACCTTTTTCGTCAAGGTCATGGCGTCGATGCCTATGACGCACCGACCCGACGTTTATGACGGCGTTCTCTCCGTCCTTGGCTGTTTTTTTTCGACCTGGAATTACTCGCGAGTAACGGTCGGGGGATCCGAGACCAGGCGGCTGATGGACATCGCCATCTTGGGAGAGCTGTACGAGAAACAGCAAAAGCTCTCGGCTTTACCTGCCTGTCTACGACAGGCCAAGGCGATTTCAGGCACCCTGCAGGGCACTACCCCGGAAGAGACGAAGCAGTTACTCGCGGCCGCCCACCGCCTGGTCTTCGCGGCAACAGGCGCCTGGCAAACAGGTCGACACAACTTGCGATACAGTTGGCTTTATATGCTCGCCCAAAATTCCCACGTCAACGAAGACTTCATCTTCGATGCTGCCGCCTCTCTATCCCACTCGTCATTGAACATACAGCCTTTGTCGATAGTAGAGGTGTCGTCGCTGCTACTAACGCAATGGGCGAGCCGAGGATACCTCAAGGCCCCCAAGGACGTTTATCGAGCTTATAGGCGGCATCGTGGAAAACGCGACGAAGCGGCGCTCGCGGCGCTTTTCCTCGGAGTATTTTCCCGCGGGAAAGGAGAGACTAGGAAGGGTCTATACCGGAGCGCATGGAAACTATTGACCAAGCTACAACAGACGGATTACGTGATGCGATCGTTGCTGTTTGACACGCTCACTGGGAAACTGCCCGTGCGCATGCTCGAAGACCTCGCGTATACATCCAACGACCACCTTACGGCAATCCACCTCCGCGATTTGTGGTCGCAAGAAGTCAGGACCAAAGACCAACCGCAGTGGTTTCCGGGCGCTTTCGACAAGTACGCTGAAAACATTGTCCGCGACCCGAAAATCCCGCCGAAAGAAATATGGCGCGTCTTGGACATCGGCAAGCTGGAACAGCAGGGGACGACATTTAAGAGCAAGATCCAACGCCACCGCGGTGCGTTCGGGAGACGCCGGGCGGCGGTCGTGGAAAAGGTGGCCAAGGCGTTTATGGAAGCGCCCCATCTCTCGAGCCGCGCGACCCTCCGCCACGTATCGCGGTCGTTTGCGTTCCTCAAGGTAATCAGGGGCAAGGTCCCGGACTTCATCATCCAAGACATGTATCGCATTGTCACCAAGGACCTGTGGGAGGAGAAGCCCGGGAGGACAAAGCGGCTGCTGTGGTTTCTGAGAATTGTTGAGAGAAGGCACGGCCTCGAGATGGCCTGGTCGTGCCGTCTTGCGCTGAGGCGCTGGAGGGCCAGGTTGCTGCAGAATTGGATCAGCAAGGGCGGGGGCAGGCAGTTTTGAACGTGTTTGCGCAGAGAAAGACAGACTTTGAGCATGGGCGGCGGCACAGGACAGGGCCGTGTCTCGCTACAGACTCGCGAGAGAGTTATCATTTCGACACCGAAAATAAAGTCATACAAACCGTTCCAACCGCCTAGCCTTGCCACCCTTGTCCTGTGCGGGAGAGCCGAGAGCTAGTAGCTCCGGAACCTGTCCTCCTGCTCAGGCGATGCATGTTACGCACGTCATTCCACGTGAGGGGAGGCGCAAGATAGCAAGCAAGCAAGCAAGCAAGACAGATCATGCCAGTGCCCATACCACTGATACCAACAACCACCACCAATAACAAACCTGAACCTCTACTAATCCCACACCCCAACCAACACCAACACCAATTCAATTACACTCGAACCACAAACCGTGCCCTCCCCTCGCCAATTCTTGCTCCCCCTTCCCCCCCACCACCCACCCACCTGACTGACATCCACACAAGCAGGCAGGTAGGCCAGGGCCAGGGCGAAGGCGCGAGCTTGTCCGTCATGGTCGCACAGGGGGGGGCGACGCAGCAACACTGACTTGACGTTCCACAGCATGCCTAGATCGAGGTGGGGCCCGGGCTGGCGGAGGCCGCGGGGGAGGGAAAGGGAAGGAAAGCGGTTGGCGGGGGAAGAGATGGAATGGAAACTAACTAACTTGGGGTCGGCGGGGGGGAAGTGGAGAAGGAAGCGAGAGTCCGCCGGGAGGTGGGGTAGAAAGGAGTGGTGGTGGGTGGTGGTGATGGCCCGGGGGCACGGAGAGGCAAGAATGGAAGAAAGGAGGCAAGGGGGGTGGGGAGGGAAGCCAGCCACCCGGTCATACTCTCCCGGCTCGGTACCTATGTACATAGTACACACGGTTCATACATGATGATGGCTGGACTGGCGTGTGCGCGTTTTACTTCATACGCACACACACCACAACACACACACGCGCGCGCGCGCGCTCGTCATGTCTCACCCGGATGCGTGTCGGATAAGGGGATGCGCGCGTGCGCCTGTGTGGGGAAGCATGCCGAGTGTGAGTGCGTGTGGGTGGACGGATGACGGTGGGGTGAGGGCGGTGGTGCGGGAACGGGCCACCTTTCCGCCTTCCCCGGCGCATCTTCCCCCCCTCCCCCC